GGGCGTGCGCCCGTGGGAGGTACCCTGTGGGCTGGGGGGGGCGGGAGGGGGAGCCAGGAGTTCCTGAGCCTGGGCCGGTGAGAGGCCGGGACCCCTCGAAGGACGCGCTCCCTGGGGTCTGTTAGCAGTGGCACGTCCTACGGTAACCCGTTGGTGTGGAAGCGTTTTCCTGCATGACCGGCTTGTGACGGTTCTGAGATTTCGCGGTCCAGGCAGCGGTCTCCCGATCCCCAGCTCGTAGGAGCGCAGGTCACATGGCCGCCCCTGCCCCTGCCGTCTCTGCCTGGATGCGGGCGTGGAGCCGGAGGGCGCCCGGGGTGGGCCCTCAAGTCCGCTGTCAAGCCGCGTGGAGACCGTGGCGTAGCAGGACGGCTTGAGCTGGGGGCGCTCGGTAACCAGGGCCTCAGTTTCCCGCCGTGTAAAGAGACGTGTGGTTCGGCCGTGTGGGGTGTCCCTTCTGTGACGTGTCTGTGGGGGTCCCGGTGGCGTCTGCGTCCCTCGGGACGTGCAGCGATGCCCTGACTGCCTGTCGTTGCAGCTGACATCATGTACACGGGCACCGTCGACTGCTGGCGGAAGATCTTCAGAGACGAGGGGGGCAAGGCCTTCTTCAAGGGCGCGTGGTCCAACGTCCTGCGCGGCATGGGCGGCGCCTTCGTGCTGGTCCTGTACGACGAGCTCAAGAAGGTCATCTAAGGGCACGGCCGGCACACGCGCGCACACACGCACACACGCACCGACACCACCACGTAGACTCCTCAACCGAGCGGACCACCGACCTTCCAGAAACGCCAGTCTCTTTCCCAGCCGGATCCTGCCTGTAGACAGCCAGGGAAGGTTCTAGAAAAGGGGCGCCCTGGGATCCAGCCTTCGGCACCCGATTCCATGGCTCCATCCCCGGGGGAGGGGAGGGAATCATGGCGTCCTCTCGGGGCCCCGGGTGAGACACTCCAGTGCTGAGACCTGCAGTCCAGATGCTTGTAGGACCCAAATCGTGTTTAACTATTTATTTAAAACAAGAGAACCATGTCTTCTGTTTCTACGCAAGCGTTCCCCTCCTTCGCACGGCGGGTACTTGTTCTTCTGTTCCTCGTGTGGCAGCCCCGCCGAGGAGCACGTCACGCGAGGGAACACCCGCCGGAGCTGGCCGCGGGGTCCAGGGACATGGGCGTGGCCGCGTGCTCTGCCCGCATTCCCCTGGGCTGCGTGCTGCCTCCTCCCGGCATCCCCAGGATGGGGTCCCGGCGGGGAAGGGGTGGGGTTCAAACCGAGGCTGACAGAGGGAGCTGGGCTCCCCAGTAGATGGCGGGGCCCCCACGGCATCTGCGCTGACTGTGCCTTCTGTGAAACTCCACGGCGCTGCTCCTTGGGCTGCCTGTAAACCGCACGCCTCACGGCTCTGGAGGCTGGAAGGCCAGGAAGAGAGGGGCCCTCTCCCCACTTTTTTTTTGCTGGGGGGAGACAGTCTCATTCTGTCACCCGGGCTGCAGTGCACCAGCGTGATCTCAGCTCACCACAGCCTCCACCTCCCAGGTTCAAACCATTCTCCTGCCTCAGTCTCCTGAGTAGCTGCGACAATGGGCACCTCATTTTTGCTTTTTTTTTTTTTTTTTTTTTTTGAGACGGAGTTTTGCTCTCGTTAACCCAGTCTGGAGTGCAATGGCGCGATCTCAGCTCACCGCAACCTCCGCCTCCTGGGTTCAGGCAATTCTCCTGCCTCAGCCTCCTGAGTAGCTGGGATGACAGGCACGTGCCACGATGCCCAGCTAATTTTTGGTATTTTTAATAGAGACGGGGTTTCACCATGTTGACCAGGATGGTCTCGATCTCTCGACCTCGTGATCGACCCGCCTCGGCCTCCCAAAGTGCTGGGATGACAGGCTTGAGCCACTGCGCCCGGCTAATTTTTGTATTTTTAGTAGAGACGCGGTTTCACCATATTGCTAAGGCCGATCTTGAACTCCCGACCTCGAGTGCTCCACCCGCCTCAGCCTCCCAAAGTGCTGGTATTTCAGGCGTGAGCCACCACTCCGGGCCTGGAGTCCCCTTTCCAAGGGCAGTCATCATCCGTGACGGGTCTCTTCCCAGAGATCCCCCAGTTCAATGGCATCGCTTTGGACAGAAGGTTCCAACCTGAATCTGGGGAAACTGAGGCAGGCCTGATCCCGTGAACTCCCTGCCCACCTGCTGGCATCTCCCTGGGGCCCCTGCAGCCTCCATTCCAGCATCGAGTGGAGTTCGCATCCCCAAAGTGGAAGCTGTCCCCGTGCACCAGGAAGGTTCCTCACCGCCAGGTGCGGCAGCTGTGTCCCGGCTCTTCCACACCGCAGTCATTGCGGGGGAGGAAAACGCCCTGCTGAGTCTCCAGCGGCCTCAGTGTGGGAGCTTCGCGGTGTCAGCCCCTGGTCGGGACACAGCCGGCAGCCATGGCGTTCCAGGAGAGCCGTGGGCTGCCCAGAAATCCCGGCCGCGAAAGGCAGGATCTTTCTGGGTGTGGGCAGCAGTCGCTGTCACCCATGCCGGAGTGCGGTGGTGCGATCCCATTTCACTGGGCCTCGGCTTCCCGAGTGGCTGGGATTACGGGCGCCTGGCGCCGCCCCCGCTAATTCTATATTTTTGGTAGAGGCAACATTTCACCTCATTGGCCAAGACGGTCTCAACCCCCTGACGTCGTGATCCTCCCACCTCAGACTCTCAGAGTGCCAGAATGACTGAGACCAGCCTGGCCAACATGGAGCGACCCCGTCCCTGTTAAGAACCCCAAACTAGCTGCGCGTGGTACCCCTGCCAGTAATCCCAGCTACCTGGGAGACTGAGGCGGGACAGTCGCGTGGGCCTGGGAGGTGGGCGGAGGTTGCTGTGAGCTGAGATCCCACCACTGCACGGCAGCCTGGAGAAAGGATGAGACTGTGTCTTACAAACAGTCCCCGGTTCCGTCCTGTGGAACTAATGGGGCAGCTTCCGCTGGCTCCCTGGGCAGGTGGCGGGTTTGTTCTCTGAGTTTTACTATTGTCGGCCAGGCTGCAGTGAAACCTGGGCCTCCGGAGCAGCTGGGATTACAGGTACCCACCCCCCACCATACCCAGCTAATGCTGTGTTTTTAGCAGAGATGGGGTTTCTCCATGCCGTTCAGGCTGGTTGTGAACTCTCGGCCTCAAGTGATTCAGCCAGCCAGTCCTGCAGAATCTGCAAAAGTCGAGGCTCTGGGCAAGCCGCGTGTTGGAGGTCAGTTCACAGGAAGTAATACATGATGATATGGCTGGGGGCGTGATTCAAGAGAAAGTCACAGTTCTGCTGTGGAGGAGTGGCTCAGCCTGTCAGTGCAGCACTTTGGGAGGCGGAGGCCGGGAGTTCGACACCAGCCTAGCCAACGTGGTGAAACCCCGTCTCTACTAAAAACAAAATTAGCTGGGTGTGGTGGCCGGTCCCTGTAATCCCAGCTACTGGGAGGCTGAGGCCAGACAATCACTTGAACCTGGTTGCTGTGAGCCAAGGTCATGCCACTGCACTCCAGCCTGGGCAACAAGAGTGAAACTCCTTCAAAAAAGAATCTCAGAAAACAATCACGGTTCATTCCTTCGACTGGCTCCCTGGGTGGGTTCCCTGTTTTAGGTGTTAGCTCTGCAGGCATTGGGACCATCCCTGGGGGCTGCAGGGGGCCTGTCGGGCACCCTCCTTGCCAGGTCACCCTGTTCCTGCACCAGGATGCCCCGGCCTTGCCATCTGACATCCCCCGCCACACTCAGACCATGCTGACGCCTCCTGTCCTGTGGCTTCATGCACCCAATTTCAGTGTGACCCTCACTGGGGTGGTGGGTGCAGCTCAAGGCCCCACACTCAGCAGAGGATCAGTCAGGAGGACCCCATATCGGGGAGACAGGGCCTGGAGAGGGGATGGGAAGTGACGCCAGCGTCCAGCTCTGGGGCAGGAGGTCAGGGCATGGAAGACTCTGGGCTGGCCTCAGGCTGTCAGCATGACTGGACCTGCCAGGGCACAGCCCCCGCCGGATACGGGCAGCTCCTGTCGCCTACGGGTAGAAAGCTGCGTGTACACAGCTTCTTTAGGGACATCTATGAAAACACTGTGAGGTGGCTTTGAAAGAGACCAGCAGTGTGGCCGGGCGCTGTGACTCATGCCTGTCAGGCCAGCACTTGAGAGGCCGAGGCAGGCGGATCACCTGAGGTCAGGAGTTCCAGACAGGCCTGGTCAACATGGTGAAATCCTGTCTGTACTAACAATTAAAAAAAAAAATTACCTGGGCGCAGTGGCACATGCCTGAAATCCCGGCTACTCAGGAGACTGAGGCAAGAAAAGTGTTTGAACCCGGGAGGCGGAGGTTGCCATTGCACCCCAGGCTGGGCAACAGAGGCGGATGCTGTCTCAAAAAAATGAAAGGACACCAGCATCCAGGGTCCTGTGCCAGCCTGGAGTCACACGGTCCAAAAGCAGCAAAGCAAACATGCTTCCCAGAAGTACTGGAAGACCTCGTTATAAAACGCTGGAGGCCGGGGGCACCGTGCCTCATGCCAGTAATCCCAGCACTTTGACAGGCCAAGCGGGGCGGACCACCTGACGTCGGGAGTTCGAGACCAGCCTGGCCAACATGGCAAAACCCCGTCTGTATCCAAAAATACAAACCTTAGCTGCGCGCGGTGGCTCATGCCTGTAATCCCAGCACTTTGGGAGGCCGAGGCGGGTGGATCACAAGGTTAGGTGTTCAAAACCAGCCTGACCAACAGGGTGAAAATGCCTCTACTAAAAATACAAAAAAATGAGCCGGGAGTAACGGTGGCCTCCTGTAATCCCAGCTACTCAGGAGTCCGAGGCGGGAGATGCTTGAACCCCAGAGGCAGAGGTTGCAGTGAGCCGAGATCGCGCCCCTGCACTCCAGCCTGGGCGACAGCCACACTCTGAATCAAAAACCAAACACTTGAGACAGGCGCTCTGACACGTGTTGGAGGGACGTGGCTGAATCCGAGACAGGGACCAGTGAGTGGGTAAAAAAGCAGTTTATTGCGAAAGAAACACACACAGGTCTGTTCTTTCCTCTTCCCGACAGCTTGGGACGGAACAGCAGGGGCCTCTCCCGTGCCCACCACCGTCAGGAACGTGCGTCCGGCACCCAGAATGTGTGGGCGCCCCGCCCAGGCCAGGGAGAGGCAGGCAGCCCTGATTGGCCCCGAGCCGGGTCTCAGCTTTTCTCCACGACCTGTATCTCCGTCACCTGGCACTCCTCCAGGCCGGCTCTGCCCGCCTCCCAGACCACCTGCAGAGACGGGAGAGGGCAAGAGGAAGTGGCCGGGTGGGCATGGTGGCTCCTGTCATTCTGGCATTTTGGGAGGCCGAGGCGGGCTGACCACCTGAGGTCAGGAGATCGAGACCAGCCTGAACAACATGGAGAAACCCCAGCTCTACTAAAGATACAGACATTAGCCGGGCGTGGTGGCACGTGCTTGTAATCCCATCCACTCGGGGCTGAGGCACGAGAATCACTTGAACCCTGGAGGCGGAGGTTGCAGTGAGCCGAGATCACGCCACTGCACTCCAGCCTGGACCTCACAGCAAGACTCCGTCTCAGAAAACAAAAAAGGCAAGGCCGGGTGAGCCGGCCACACCCACACAAGACACGCAGTGTCCTAATTCTCGGGGCTGTGCAGTCTCAAACGTGCTCTGCCCCTGGGATGTGGGCGCAGTGACTGCCCATGGTCACGGTGGGCTGGGAGTCAGCGTCCCCCACTCCCTTCATTCTGCAGCTTCTCCCAGCCGCCCGTCAGCACTGCTGCACCAGCCCTTGTCACTCCTCATCCACTGGAGTGCAGCCAGGCCATCTTCATTCACTGCAGCCTCCGCCTCCGGGTTCAGGCAGTCCTCCTGCTCCAGCCTCCCAAGTAGCTGGGATGACAGGTGCCCACCACCATGCCCAGCTACTTTAAAAAAAAACAAAAAAACAAAACCGTCTCCACTGAAAATACAAACAGTAAACCAGGCATAGTGACGGGCGCCTGTCATCCCACTACTCGGGAGGCTGAGGCAGAATCTCTTGAACCCGAGAGGCAGAGGTTGCAGTGAGCCAAGATCACACCACTGCTCTCCAGCCTGGGCAACAGAGCAAAACTCCATCTCCAAACAAACCCAACCAAGGAAAACTAGCCAGGCTGCAGTGCAGGGGTGCAATGTCCGTCCACTCACTGCAACCTCCACCTCCCGGGTTCAAGCGATTCTCCTGCCTCAGCCTCCGAGTAGCTGGGATGACAGGTACGCACCACCATGCCCAGCTGATTATTGTATTTTTAGTAGAGATGGGGTTTCACCACGTGGACCGATCTGGTCTTGATCTCTTGACCTCGTGATCTGCCCACCTCAGCCTCCCAAAGTGCTGGGATGACGGGCACTCGCCACCGTGCCCGGCCAGTTTTCTGTTTGTAGTAGAGACAGGGTTTTATTCACCATGTTGGCCAGGCTGGTCTCCACTGCCTGGCCTCCAGCTGTCCACCTGCCTCAGCCTCCCAAAGTGCCCGCCACGCCCCCAGCTCCCTCCCTTGGCGGGAAACACAACGTACCAGCTTGTCGTTTCGGAAGCCGTTCCCCATGGGGTCTTTCATGTGAGGGAGACGGGGAAACAGTCTCTCCATCACGAGGTACCTGGGAGGAAAGAGAAGCCGCCCTGCTCTGAACCCAGCACCGAACACGTCATCACCCGGAGGGGCTCAGCGTGTCCAGAAGACGCCGTAGGGGCGACAAGACCGAGCAAAAGACTCAAGCAAGTCACCTGCTCAGGGGGCCTCTATGTTCCCTGCCCCCGAGGCCCAGACACCTCCTGAGCAGTTGATTCAGGACTGTCAGGAACTGGGCGCTGGTATCCCCGCCTCCCATGAAGGCCCTGCTCCCTCAGATCACCGAGGTTATGACCTGAGCCTGCAGCGGGCAGCAACCCCTTCCACCTCCTCCTCCTCCAGCCCTCTGGGAGACAGAAGTCACCTGACACGCATTTCACAGGCTTTTTTTTGTTTGTTTTAGAGACAGAGTCTCGCTCTGTCACTCATGCTGGAGTGCCATGGGGAGACCTCAGCTCACAGCAACCTCCGCCTCCCAGGTTCAAGGGATTCTCCTGCCTCAGCCTCCTGAGTAGCTGGGATTACAGGCATGTAATTTACAGTCCGGCTAATTTTTGGATTTTCTTTTTTTTTAGTAGAGATGAAGTTTCTCCATGTTGGCCAGGCTGGTCTTGAACTCCCGACCTCAGGTGATCCGCCCGCCTCGGCCTCCCAAAGTGCTGGCAAGACAGGCTTCAGCCAGTGCGTCCAGCCTTACACATTTTTCTTCTTTTTTGGAGATGGAGTCTCGCTCAGTCACCCAGGCTGGAGTGCAGTGGAGCAATCTCAGTTCACTGCAACCTCCACCTCCCGGGTTCAAGCCATTCTCCTGCCTCAGCCTCCCGAGTACCTTGGATTACAGGCACCAGCCACGAAGTCCAGATAATTTTTTAAATTTTTTATTTTTTTGTTTGTTATTTTTAGTAAAGACAGGGTTTCTTCATGTTGGCCAGGCTGGTCTCAAACTCCTGACCTCAGGTGATCCACCCTCCTCGGCCTCCCAAAGTGCCGGGATGACAGGCGTGAGCCACCGTGCCTGGCCCCCATTTGACAGATTGTGGGGCTCTGACAGCCAGCGAGTAGGACACAGCACCTGCGGGGACCCAGCTGGGGAACGAAAACCCAGACTTGGCCTGCAAGACGGATCCTGTTCCCCGTCCAAATGGACAGGGGTTCGAGACCATCCTGGCCAACATGGTGAAACCCCGTCTCTACTAAAAATAGAAAAATTAGCCAGTTATGGTGGCACGTGCCTGTGGTCCCAGCGACTCGGGAGGCTGAGGCAGGAGAATCGCTTGAACCCAGGAGGCGGAGGTTGCAGTGAGCTGAGATTGCGGCCCTGCACTCCAGCCTGGTGACACAGCGAGACTCAAAAAATAAATATATAAATGAATAAAATAATAATAGTGGCCAAGCATGGTGGCTTATGCCTGTAATCCCAGCACTTTGGGAGGCTGAGGCCGGTATATCACTTCCATCCAGGACTTCAAGACCAGCTGGGCCAACAGGGTGAAATGCCATCTTTACTAAAAAACAAAAATTAGCAGGGCACGGTGGCTCACGCCTGTCATCCCAGCACTTTGGGAGGCTGAGGCGGGCGGATCACAAGGTCAAGAGATCAAGACCATCCTGGCTGACATCGTGAAACCCCGTCTCGACTAAAAATATAAAAATTAGCCGAGCATGGTGGCGTGTGCCTGCCGTCCCAGCTACTCAGGAGGCTGAGGCAGGAGGATCACTTGAACCCGGGAGGCGGAGGTTGCAGTGAGCCGAGATTGTGCTATTGCACTCCAGCCTGGCGTCTGGCGACAGAGCAAGACTCTGTCTGAGAAAAAAAAAAAAAAATGGCCCGGTGTGGTGGCAGGTGCCCGTAAAACCAGCTACTCGGGAGACTGAGGCCGGAAAATGGCTTGAACCTGGAAGGGGGAGTTTGTGGTGAGCCGAGATCGCACCATTGCACTCCAGCCCCGGCAACAGGGTGAGAATCCATCTCAAAAAAAAAGTTATAAATGTCCCTGTGTCCTTTGTTCAGGGGCACTCTTCTGACAAGACTGCCCGCGAGGTGCACCCTTGCTGAGCGATCCACTGTCTCGGTGTGGTTTTTTTTTTTTTTTTAAAGATGGGGTTTCACCAAGATGGCCAGGCTGGTCTTGAACTCGTGACGTCAGGTGATCCACCCGCCTCAGCCTCGCAAAGTGCTGAGATGACAGGCGTGAGCCACCGCGCCCAGCCTCGGTGTGGTTTTTTGTGATATTATCAACCTGTTCCCAAGAAGGGCTCACCTTTTGCAGAGCAGGACAGCACAGAGCACGGCCAGCAACGTCCCCAGCGCGATGAGCAGTGACGTCCGCCAGGCTCGGGTGTGCGGGTCCTCCTCCTGATCACACTCTAGGAGAAAAAAATCATGATGGGGTCAGGGACCAGGGGCCGCCCTGGGGGGACCAGGTGCCGTGCGCTCTCCCCGGGGCGCTGGGCAGCAGACAGGCGGCGGCCAGGCGGGGTGGCGGCCAGCGGGAAGTTCGTCGTCAGCGCACAGATGACTCTACTGCATTCCAAGGACCTAGACTGAGCACTTGCACCCTGGAAGTGACAGCCGCAGGGTCCAGACCCTGAGGGTCTACTGGGTGCTGTTTTGTATGCAGACACAGATCAAAGGAAAGACACAGACACAGAGATAAGAGAAGAGTCCAGCGGGGCGCCGGGGACCAGGACTACCAAGGCGCGCACTCCAAGGGTGGCCTCGAATGCCTGGATGTGCTGACATTGGCTGTATACAGCTCAGCGGTGTAGGGTCAGCAGACGGAACCTCTGACACCATTTACAAGGTCCAGCACATCACGGGATTCCACTACACGGCCACGCCGGAACGCTTCTGCGTCCTTAGCAGAAACATCAAAGGCTCTTAGGATCCGTCTATTCTTTTTATGTTTCATATATTTTTTTGACACGGAGTCTCGCTCTGTGGCCCAGGCTGGACTGCCGTGGTGTGGTCTCCGCTCCCTGCAACCTCCACCTCCCGGGTTCAAGCGATTCTCCCGCCTCGGCCTCCCGAGTCGCTGAGATCACAGGCACCTGCCACCACACCCTGGCTAACTTTTGCATTTTTAGTAGAGACGGGGTTTTGCCATGTTGCCCAGGCTGGTCTCGAACTCCTGGACTCAAGTGATCCTCCCGCCTCCGCCTCCCAAAGCACTGGGGTGACAGGCTCGAGTTACTGCACCTGGCCTGAGCTTTTCTTGAACGCATATCACACATCAGCCTGGCCAACATGCTGAAACCCCACCTCTACTAAAAATACAGAGGTCAGCCGGCTGTGGTGGCGTGCACCTGTAGTCCCAGCGACTCGGGAGGCCGAGGAGGGAGAATCGTTTGAACCCGGGAGGCGGACGTTGCAGGGAGCTGAGATCACGCCATGGCGCTCCAGACTGCTGGTGTAAGAGCGAAACTCCGTCTCCAAAAAAATAATAATAATAAAACAAAAAGACCAAAATGTGCTGTAATACTAAAGCAGAGATTAATAAAGACCCGTGATTTAACATGATTGATTATGCAATGGATTATGTGATGCTTTCTAAATATATTTGGTATCACTGCTAAAACTGAGTCATCAGGTATTGATTATACTGAGACAGCTACTGCCTTCAGTGTCCTGCCTTGGCACCTGGCAGCATTCTGTAACCACTTACAGCCATACGGGGACGGGGACCCCCTGCGGGACACCTGTGGACCAGCACCCAGAGCGACACCCGGACCTCCCAGCCCCAGCTTGGAGCCCAGGCAGAGCTGAAAGGCCACCAGGATTCTGCCTCCGTGTCTGGCAGGTGCTCAGGGACTTCCACCATGCCCGGCAGCCTGGCAGGGGCTTTGGGTGCAGGTGGCATGGAGGCCAACAAGCAGATGCCACCTTGGCTAGGAACCGCGCCGGCCCGCAGAGGGACGAGGGCTTTCTACTTGACCTTGTCTTTAGCATGGATCACGCCACTGCTCTCCAAGATCATGACCTTATTAAAAATTATTATTTTAAATAATATATATTACATTATATATTTAATAAGAAAAAAATTTAAATTGTATATATGTGATAACAGCATATATTATATAATTATATTAATATATTAATATCTAACATAATATAATCATAACATATTGTATAGTAAATCACAGATGTTTTATTATATATGATATATAATTATATATCATATATAATAATATTATATAATATATATTATAAAATTATATATAATGGCATATGTATAATATATATTATATTACATATATGAATTTATTATATATTATATTATATATTATAAAATTATATATAATTGTATATGTATAATATATATTATATTACATATTATATGAATTTATTATATATTATACATATAATATATAATACACAATATATATATTATGTACACTGTATGTATTTATATGATTATATAATATATAATTACACATTATAATTATATATAGTATATTAAATATATTTAATTATATAATTTTAATATTTAATATATATTTCATATATAATATATAATTATATCATATATTATATAATTATATCATATATCATAGAATTATATCATATAAATAATATGTTTAATTTATCATACACATTATTATATAATAATATATCTGTGTATGTGTGTGTGTGTATGTTCGTGCATTAAATTTTTTTTTTTTTTGAGACGCAGTCTCACTCTGTCACCCACCCTGGAGTGCAGTGGTGCGATCTCAGCTCACTGCAACCTCTGCCTCCTGGGTTCAAACGATTCTCCTGCCTCAGCCTCCTGCGTCCCAAGTATCTGGGACTACAGGCGACCACCACCGCCACACCTGGATAGTTTTTTTGTTTTGTTGTGTTTGTTTTTTCGGGTTTTTTTTTTTTTTCTTTTGTGACACGGTCTTGCTTTGTCACCCAGGCTGGAGTGCATTGGTGCTATCTCAGCTCACTGCAGCCTCTGTCTCCTGGGTTCAAGCGATCCTCCTGCCTCAGCCTTCCGAGCAGCTGGGATTATAGGCGCCCACCACCGCGCCTGGCTAATTTCTGTATTTTTAGTAGAGACTGGGTTTCACCATGTTGGTCAGGCTGGTCTTGAACTCCTGACCTCAGTTGATCCGCCCACCTCGGCCTCCCAAAGTGCTGAGATTACAGGCGTGAGCCACCACTCCCCGGCAGCAGCTCTTACTCTGGAGGCAATCCTCCTCCGAATCCGGCTGCAGAGGCCTTAGACGCAGCCTATCTGGATAGAGGGTGGCACCCCCTTGCCCTGCCACGGCTGTCTCATCACAAGGCCCACGCGCTGCCTGTCAGCTTCCCCTGGCTTCCCCTCCACGTCTCCTCTCCTGAGTGACAGCAAGACTCAAAAAATTATTATTATTATTATGTATGACATAATAATCATTATTTTAATAATATATATTATTAAATTATAGATTTAATTATTAAATTATAGATTTATTGTTATTAATAATTTAATAATTATTAATTATTACTGAATTATAGATTTAATAACATAAATTTTTAAGAATTATATAATATACTAATAGTGTTATAATAATAGAGTATAATAATATATACTATTAATTGTTATAGTATTATGTTAATGATCTATATCTTTAAACTTTTCACATATATACAAAAATAATATATATAATGATAATGTATTGTATAATAATATATGATTTATTATATATTAAATATCATTATATATTAAATATATAATGTTTTTTGAGACAGAGCCTTACTCTGTCACCCAGGCTGGATTAAGACTCAATTATTAAATTAAATAATAATTATTATATTAAATAATTAAATTATTATATATCTATAACACTATATTTTATAATGTATAATATATAATAAATTACATAATATACAATATATCAATATATAATTATATAATATAATATGTGATACATTCTATAACATGTTGTAGATAATTATACCATAATTATATGTAATATATAATATACATTATGTATTATAATATATTATATAATAATATATAGTATATCGTATATATGATTATACAGTATTATATAATAATTATTACTATGGTCAAGTTCCGAGTCCAAGAAACAGTGAAAACCTGGCAGCCCACGGACGGTGCGGGGGCCGGGGCAGGTGGCCTGCATTTCCACGACCCAAGTGGGCGCGTGCAGCTTCCACTCACCTGTGAGGGAGACGGGAGAGGCGCCCCTCTCAGCCCACTCACCCCACTCACCAAAGCGCTGGTGGCTGCTCCAGGCGCTCCAGAATTGCTCATAGATTTCCTGGGCTCTTATTCTCACTGTGTACGTTCCGGGATTGAGCAGCTGGAAGGAGGTTATGCCTTTGACCTGTGGTTTAAAAGAAAATAAACAACTCGCCCTTTGCAATGTCAAGTACAAGGGGTGGGGGGTCAGGAACACTCACCTGTTCTGTGATTACAGGCTGCTTGCTCTGCAAGGCAAAAGCAAAGGTTTCAGTGTCTGGACACTCCCTGACACCCTCCTCCCCCCAAACTCATATTTCTCCCTCCAGGACATCCAGCAAAACAGGGGGTTTTGGAAAGTCCTTGGGTGAGCAATGGGGGCAAAACAATCAGCTTAGGCATAAATAGCACCTGACCAGAAGGTTTCCTATGGGCCGCTGTGGCAAGAACTTGGTGGGAGGGAGCTTTGTAGGGCCTGTGGACAAACAAGACCCAATGTCCTCCCAGATATCTTCCACATACATCCAGGGGGAGCCACAGGCAGCCTGTATCAGGCCAGCAAACTAGGTGGGTGCAGCACCAGATGTAAAGCCAGGCTACGACTCTGCCTCTAACTGCAGCTATGCTTGCTACCTCAAATCAGCAAAAGAAAGAAGTGGGTGTGCTGTATTAACTTCTTTTAAAAAAAAATCCCAGATTGGCTCAAAAATACTTGGTAATATAAAAGAAATTAATGGACTTAGCTTTTTTGAGCAGATTCAGGTTTACAAATAAAATGCATATGAAATAATTAGTATTTGAGCATAAATAATAAATATATCACATAGGGCAGGCCTGGTGGCTCATGCCTGTAATCCCAGCCCTTTGGGAGGCTGAGGCAGGAGGAGGATCATGAGGTCAGGAGTTCGAGACCAGCCTGGCCAATGTAGTGAAACCCTGTGTCTACTGAAAATACAAATATTAGCTGGGCCTGGTGGCACGCAACTGAATTCCCAGCTACTTGGGAGCCTGAGGCAGGAGAATTGCTTGAACCCAGGAAGTGTAGGTTGCAGTGAGCTGAGACCACAGCATTGCATTCCAGCCTGGGTGACAGAGTGAGACTCTGTCTCAAAAAAAAAAAAAAAAAACAAAAAAAAAAACAACCTATTATGTTTAGTTTAGTTTAGTTTAGTTTTTGAGACAGGGTCTTGCTCTGTTGACCAAGCTGGAGGGCTGTGGTGTGAGCTCAGCTCACTGCAGCCTTGAACTCCTGGGTTCAAGAGATCGTCCCATCTCAATCTCCTGAGCAGCTAAGACTACAGGCACCTGCCACCATGCTTAGCTAATTTTTTATTTTTATTTTTATTTTTTAAGGTGGGGTTTCACCATGTTGGTCAGGCTGGTCTTGAACTGCCAACCTAAGGCGATATGCCCGCCTTGGCCTCCAAAGTGCTTAGATTACAGGCATGAGTCACCACGCCCGGCCTTTTAAAATTTTAATTTAATTTAACTTAATTTAATTTAATTTATTTATTTATTTTAAGATGGGGGATTAGCTAATTTTTAATTTTTTTTTTTGAGATGGAGTCTTACACTGTTGCCCAGGCTGGAGTGCAATGGCGCGATCTCCGCTCACTGCAACCTCCGCCTCCCGGGTTCACGCAATTCTCCTGCCTCAGCCTCCCGAGTAGCTGGGATGACAGGTGCGCACCACCACACCCGGCTAATTTTTTGTATTTTAGTTGAGAAGGGGTTTCATTATGTTGGTGAGGCTGGTCTCGAACTCCTGACCTCATGATCTGCCCACCTCAGCCTCCCAAAGTGCTGGGATGACAGGCAGGCATGGGCCACCGACTCTGGCCTGCATTTTTATTTGTAGTATTTCATTTATTTATTTTTATTTTATTGTTTATTTTTTAGAGACAGGGTTTCACCATGTTGGTCAGGCTGGTCTTGAACTCCCGATCTCAGGTGATCTACCCGCCTCGGCCTGACAAACTGCTGGGATCACAGGCGTGAGCCGCCGAGCCTGGCCTCAAACGTTCTTTTTTCAATGACATATACTTCCATGGCATTCTCGGAGGAGGTTTTCGTCCATTCCAACGCCCCAGAGTGTGACTTACCGGAAATAAGGGGGGTCCACGCGGGGCGAGAGTTTACCTTTTGTATCTGAAGCTCATAGTGAAAGTCGCGATTGAAATGACTTCTCATTTTCCACTCCATGAAAGAATGTGTTTTATTACACTTGGCGGTCAAGTTGGGCGGAGTTAGTATCTCTAGCAATTGGAAAGGACACTTTGATGAGTAAAAAAATACAGGTTTTTTTTGAGACGGAATCTGGCTCCGTCGCCCAGGCTGGAGTGCAGTGGTGCCATCTCGGCTCACTGCAGCCTCCACCTCCGGGGTTCCATTTTATTGTACTTTAAGTTCTGGGGTCCATGTGCAGAATGTGCAGGTTTGCTACACAGGGACACACGTGCCATGGTGGTTTGCTGCACCCATCCCCCCTCACCTACATTACGTATGTCTCCTAATGCTCTCCCTCCCCTAGCCCCCCACCCCCTGCTGTCCCTCTCCTAGCCCCCCGCCCCCTGCTATCTCTCCCTAATTCTCCCACCCTCCCCCGCTATCCCTCCCCTAGCCCTCCACCCCCCGACAGGCCCCAGTGTGTGACGCTCCCCTCCATGTGTCCGTGTGTTCTCACTGTTCAACACCCACTTATGAGTGAGAACATGAGGCTGTTGGTTTTCTGTTCTTGTGTCAGTTTGCTGAGAATGAAGGTTATTATTTTTTGTATCTGTAATAGAGACGGGGTTTTATCGTATTGGTCAGCCTGGTCTCGAACTCCTGACCTCATGATCCACCCGCCTTGGCCTCCCAAAATGCTGGGATCACAGGGGTCAGCCACCCCGTCTGGATCCCCACCCCCACTTTTTCTTTTCTTTTCTGTAGAGACTTCAGATTTGTAGTAGCTACAAATACTGTAGATATCTACGAATACTGCAGATCTGTGCATTTGCAGACGGGCAGAGGAAAACCGCCCTTCCAGGCAGGAGGCGTGAACAAACACTCGGGGCTGACATGTGTTGGGGGCCCGGGGAGAAGCCAGCCTTGGGGCTGGCTGTTTGCAGCCTGGCTGTCCTGGCAGTGGCCTTCACAACCACCCTTTTGTTCTCTGAGGTACCACGACCCAGCTTTCCCGGGCAGTGGCAGCTACAAGTCTGTCTCCCTGCCCGCTCCGTCTCTGCTCAGCCCCCTGGACAGCCTGGCTCACTGCCCACCCTGCCCAGGGCCTGCCCCCTCTGGTTCTCTGCTCAGCCCCCTGGGCAGCCTGGTTCACTGCCCACCTGTGCCCACGACCTGCCCCTCCATCTCTCTGCTCAGCCCCCTGGGCAGCCTGGCTCACTGCCCACCTGTGCCCCGACGTGCCCTCTCTGGCTCTGCTCAGCCCCCTGGGCAGCCTGGCTCACTGCCCACCCCTGCCCAGGGCCTGCCCCCTCCCCCCACCCACAGCACACCGGCGCCTTGGGGTTCCCTCTGTGTCACTGAGGATGGGCCCCGTGAGACTCGCCCTCTCCGACCTGCACCCAGCCTGCTGGAGCTTCCACCTCCCATCCCGGGCTGGCTTCTCAGCTTCCGCTAAGCCCTCAGGATGGCCCGTCTGCGGCCCAGGGCGGCCTCCACCTCCTGTTACTTCCACATTCTCAGATCTGACCCGACCACCAAGCCCAGCCCAGAGTCTCCGGCTGTCTGTCTGCAGCTTCCCTGGGCCCCAGGAAGGAAGTCCAGACCTGGTTCCCCTTCTCCTTCCCCTCCCCTTTCTCCCCCTCCCCCTTCTCCCCTCCTCCTCTCCCTCCTCCTTCCCCCTCCCCATCTCCACCTCCTTCCACTCCCTTCCACTCCCCATCTCCACCTCCTCCCCTCCCCATCTCCACCTCCTCCCCTCCCCATCTCCACCTCCTCCACTCCCCATCTCCACCTCCTCCCCTCCCCATCTCCACCTCCTCCACTCCCCATCTCCACCCCCTTCCACTCCCCATCTCCACCTCCTCCCCTCCCCATCTCCACCTCCTCCACTCCCCATCTCCACCCCCTTCCACTCCCCATCTCCACCTCCTCCCCTCCCCATCTCCACCTCCTCCACTCCCCATCTCCACCTCCTCCACTCCCCATCTCCACCTCCTCCCCTCCCCATCTCCACCTCTTCCACTCCCCATCTCCACCTCCTCCCCTCCCCATCTCCACCTCCTCCACTCCCCATCTCCACCCTCTTCCACTCCCCATCTCCACCTCCTCCCCTCCCCATCTCCACCTCCTCCACTCCCCATCTCCACCCCCTTCCACTCCCCATCTCCACCTCCTCCCCTCCCCATCTCCACCTCCTCCACTCCCCATCTCCACCCCCTTCCACTCCCCATCTCCACCTCCTTCCACTCCCCATCTCCACCTCCTCCCCTCCCCATCTCCACCTCCTCCCCTCCCCATCTCCACCTCCTCCACTCCCCATCTCCACCCCCTTCCACTCCCATCTCCACCTCCTCCCCTCCCCATCTCCACCTCCTCCACTCCCCATCTCCACCCCCTTCCACTCCCCATCTCCACCCCCTTCCACTCCCATCTCCACCTCCTCCCCTCCCCATCTCCACCTCCTCCACTCCCCATCTCCACCTCCTCCCCTCCCCATCTCCACCTCCTCCACTCCCCATCTCCACCCCCTTCAACTCCCCATCTCCACCTCCTCCCCTCCGCATCTCCACCTCCTCCCCTCCCCATCTCCACCTCCTCCCCTCCGCATCTCCACCTCCTCCACTCCCCATCTCCACCCCCTTCCACTCTCCATCTCCACCTCCTCCCCTCCCCATCTCCACCCGCTTCCAGTCCCCATCTCCACCTCCTCCCCTCCCCATCTCCACCTCCTCCCCTCCCCATCTCCACCTCCTCCACTCCCCATCTCCACCTCCTCCCCTCCCCATCTCCACCTCCTCCCCTCCCCATCTCCACCTCCTCCACTCCCCATCTCCAACCCCTTCCACTCCCCATCTCCACCTCCTCCCCTCCCCATCTCCACCCCCTTCCACTCCCCATCTCCACCTCCTCCCCTCCCCATCTCCACCTCCTCCACTCCCCATCTCCACCTCCTCCACTCCCCATCTCCACCTCCTCCCCTCCCCATCTCCACCTCCTCCACTCCCCATCTCCACCTCCTCCCCTCCCCATCTCCACCCCCTTCCAGTCCCCATCTCCACCTCCTCCCCTCCCCATCTCCACCTCCTCCACTCCCCATCTCCACCCCCTTCCACTCCCCATCTCCACCCCCTTCCACTCCCCATCTCCACCTCCTCCCCTCCCCATCTCCACCTCCTCCACTCCCCATCTCCACCTCCTCCACTCCCCATCTCCACCCCCTTCCACTCCCCATCTCCACCTCCTCCCCTCCCCATCTCCACCCCCTTCCACTCCCCATCTCCACCTCCTCCCCTCCCCATCTCCACCTCCTCCACTCCCCATCTCCACCCCTTCCACTCCCCATCTCCACCTCCTCCCCTCCCCATCTCCACCTCCTCCACTCCCCATCTCCACCCCCTTCCACTCCCCATCTCCACCTCCTCCCCTCCCCATCTCCACCTCCTCCACTCCCCATCTCCACCCCCTTCCACTCCCCATCTCCACCTCCTTCCACTCCCCATCTCCACCTCCTCCCCTCCCCATCTCCACCTCCTCCCCTCCCCATCTCCACCTCCTCCACTCCCCATCTCCACCCCCTTCCACTCCCCATCTCCACCTCCTCCCCTCCCCATCTCCACCTCCTCCACTCCCCATCTCCACCCCCTTCCACTCCCCATCTCCACCCCCTTCCACTCCCCATCTCCACCTCCTCCCCTCCCCATCTCCACCTCCTCCACTCCCCATCTCCACCTCCTCCCCTCCCCATCTCCACCTCCTCCACTCCCCATCTCCACCCCTCCCCCTCCCCATCTCCCCTCCTCCCCTCCCCATCTCCCCCCCCTCCCTCCCCCTCCCCCCTCCTCCCCTCCCCCTCTCCCCCCCCTCCCTCCCCTCTCCACCTCCTCCCCTCCCCCTCTCCCCCCCCCTCCCCTCTCCCCCCCCTCCCCCTCCCCTCCCCCCTCCTCCCCTCCCCCTCCCCTCCCCCTCCTCCCCCTCCTCCCCCCTCCCTCCCACCCCCTCCCCTCCCCATCTCCCCCTCCTCCCCTCCCCCTCTCCACCTCCTCCCCTCCCCCTCTCCCCCCCCTCCCCTCCCCCTCTCCCCTCCTCCCCTCCCCATCTCCCCCTCCTCCCTCCCCCTCTCCACCCCCCTTCCACTCCCCATCTCCCCCCCCTCCCTCCCCCCCTCCTCCCCCCTCCCCCCCCCTCCCCCCTCCCTCCCCCCCTCCCCCCCCTCCCCCCTCCCTCCCTCCCCTCCCCTCCTCCCCCCCCTCCCCTCCCCTCCTCCCCCCCCTCCCCTCCCCCTCCCCCCTCCTCCCCCTCCCCCCTCCCCTCCTCCCTCCCCTCCCCCCCCTCCCCTCCCCTCTCCCCCTCCTCCCCCTCCCCCTCTCCCCCCCCTCTCCCCCCCCTCCTCCCCCCTCCTCCCCCTCCCCCCTCTCCCCCTCCCTCCCCTCCCCCTCTCCCCCCCCTCCCCTCCCCTCTCCCCCTCCTCCCCCTCCCCCCTCCCCCTCCTCCCCTCCCCTCTCCCCCCCCTCCCTCCCCCTCCCCCCCTCCCCCCCCTCCCCCTCCCTCCCCCTCCCCCCTCCCCCTCCCCCCCCTCCTCCCCCTCCCTCCCCCTCCCCCTCCTCCCCCTCCTCCCCCCCCCTCCCTCCCCCCTCCCCCCCTCCCCCCCCCCTCCCCTCCCCTCCCCCCCCCCTCCCCTCCCCCTCCCCCCCCTCCCCTCCCCTCCCCCCCTCCCCTCCCCTCCCCCCCCTCCTCCCCTCCCCCTCCTCCCCCCCCCCTCCCCTCCCCCCCCTCCTCTCCCACATCCTCCACTCCCCCATCCTCCACCTCCTCCCCTCCCATCTCCACCTCCTCCCCTCCCATCTCCACCCCCTTCCACTCCCCATCTCCACCTCCTCCCCTCCCATCTCCACCTCCTCCACTCCCATCTCCACCTCCTCCACTCCCCATCTCCACCCCTTCCACTCCCCATCTCCACCTCCTCCCCTCCCCATCTCCACCTCCTCCCCTCTCCCATCTCACCTCCTCCACTCCCCATCTCCACCCCCTTCCACTCCCCATCTCTACCTCCTCCCCTCCCCATCTCCACCTCCTCCACTCCCCATCTCCACCCCCTTCAACTCCCCATCTCCACCTCCTCCACTCCGCATCTCCACCTCCTCCCCTCCGCATCTCCACCTCCTCCCCTCCGCATCTCCACCTCCTCCCCTCCCCATCTCCACCTCCTCCCCTCCGCATCTCCACCTCCTCCCCTCCCCATCTCCACCTCCTCCCCTCCGCATCTCCACCCCCTTCCACTCCCCATCTCCACCTCCTCCCCTCCCCATCTCCACCTCCTCCACTCCCCATCTCCACCCCCTTCCACTCCCCATCTCCACCCCCTTCCACTCCCCATCTCCACCCCCTTCCACTCTCCATCTCCACCTCCTCCCCTCCCCATCTCCACCCGCTTCCAGTCCCCATCTCCACCTCCTCCCCTCCCCATCTCCACCTCCTCCCCTCCCCATCTCCACCTCCTCCCCTCCTCCCCTCCCCATCTCCACCCCCTTCCACTCCCCATCTCCACCCCCTTCCACTCCCCATCTCCACACCCTTCCACTCCCCATCTCCACCCCCTTCCACTCCCCATCTCCACCCCCTTCCACTCCCTATCCCACCCCCTTCCACTCCCCATCTCCACCCCCTCCCGTCCCCCTCCCCCACTTATGCTCTTCCTTCCTCCGTTCCATCCTCCTTTTTCTCCTCCTCTTCCTCTTTACCCCTCCTCTGCCGAAGCGTCCTGAGCACCCTCCCCGTGGGGTCAGCGCACATTGGCCACTGTGTACATGGACATCCTCGACACCTGGGAGGTTCCCTCCCCACCCCAGCTGGGGTGTCGTGGGATCCGTGATGGGTGGGTTTTATGATACATAATGGGGGTCCCATGACCCATGATGGGGGAAACCATGACCCATGATGGGAGATAGGGAGGTCCCACGACTCATGATGGCATCGATGATGGGGGCTCCCATGATGGGGGATCTTATGACCCATGATGAGACCCATGACGGGGGTCCCATGTCCCATGATGCAATCCATGACGGGGGGCCCCATGACCCATGATGGAACCCGTGATGGCTGGTCCCATGACCCATGATGGAACCCATGACAGGGGGTCCCATGACCCATGATGGAACCCATGACGGGGGGTCCCATGACCCATGATGGAACCCATGACGGGGGGTCCCATGATGCATGATGGAACCTATGATGGGTGGTCCCATGACCCATGATGGAATCCATGAAGGGGGGGTCCCATGACCCATGATGAAACCCATAACGGGGGGTCCCATGACCCATGATGGAACCTATGATGGGAGGTTTCCCAAGGCCCATGATGGAACCCATGATGGGGGGCGGTCCCATGACCCATGATGAAACCCATAATACAGGGTGTCCCAAGGCACAAGATGGAACCCATGATGGGGGTCCCATGACCCATGATGGAACCCATAATGGGGGGTGTCCCAAGGCACAAGATGGAACCCATGACAGGGGGTCCTATGACTTATGATGGATCACATGATGGGGGGGGGTGTCCCAAGGCCCATGATGGAACCCATGATGGGGGGTGTCCCAAGGCCCATGATGGAACCCATGACAGGGTGTCCCATGACATATGATGAAATCCATGGTGGGGGTGTCCCATGAGCCATGATGGAACCCATGATGGCATCAGTGCCCCTGTAAGGAGAGACATCAGAGCCTCCTGTATGTCTCTGTCTCCACCACATGCAAAACACCATGAGAAGATGACCCTCTGCCAGGCAGGAAGAGACCTCCCCAGGGGCCGGCCCACCCAGCCCCTGCCCTCCAACACCCAGCCTCTGGGAATGTGTATGTTGGGGGCCAGCCGGGCCTTGGGAGCTGGCGCGAGGCTGTGAGCAGCCACAGGGGCCTGGGCCACTCACCAATCACCGAAAACACGACAAGCTGGTCTACGCAGGGGACGCGGAAGGCCTCGCTGGAGCCTGTCACTAGGATAAAGGCTGATGGCGACCCTCTGGAGATGCCAGAGATGTCACTGAACACGCAGCCAATGTGAGTCCCTCGCTGATTCCTGTTGTAGTGGACACAGGGGTGCTGCTCCTGGCCACTGCGGGAACCACACGAAGTCAGGGGACGGGCCAGGCCTGAAGACCCCGCGCCCCGGGGACACCTCGGCCTGCGCAGCTCCACCTCCTCCTCCTCCTCCTGCCTCTCTCCTCCCTTCTTCTTCAGCCTCTCCTCCTCGTCCTTTATTCCTCTTCTTTCTTCTCTTCCTCCTCCCCTCTCCCCCTCCTGCTCCTCCCCCTCCTGCCCCCCAGGCTCATCTTCTATCTCTCATCCTCCCTCCACCCTCCTCTGCCTTCTCCCCGCCTCCTCGTCTGCACCCCAAGGCCGAACCTACTCGCGATGGCTGACCGACAGGTGGTACTGGACGTCCCCGGGGGCCTCGGGACCCACGGCCCAGCTGCAGGTCATCAGGTCCACCCCGTGGACCCAGCACGTCAGGTTCTGCGCGGCTGCCTGCGGATTCCCACCTGCGTGCGCCCACCGGAAAGAAAACGCCCGTCGCGTCCTGGCACGGGGGCTCCCGCCTGTCACCCCAGCACTTCGGGAGGCCGAAGCAGGTGGATCACCTGAGGTCGGGAGGTCGAGACCAGCCTGGCCAGTATGGTGAAACCCCGTGTCTGCTAAAAACACGCACTATGACCCGGGCGTGGTGGCGGGGGCCTGTCATCCCAGCTGCTCGGGAGGCTGAGGCGGGAGGATCGCTGGAACCCGGGAGGCGGAGGCTGCCGTGAGCCGAGGTCACGCCACTGCACTCCAGCCTGGGCCACAGAGCGAGCCTCTGTCTCAGTCATAATAATAATTAGGTGGGCATGGTGGCTCCTGCCTGTGGTCGCGCCTTCATGGGAAGTTGAGGCAAAAGGATCGTTTCACCCCAAGGGTTCAAGGCGGGCACTGAGCTGGGATGGGGCCGCTGCCCTCCAGCCTGGGCCGCAGACGGGGACGTTGTCTTCCAACAAAGGACGAGAGAAAGACGGGAAAAAGAGAGAGAGACGCAGGAAAGGGAGCAGGGATGAAGGAAGGAGGGAGGGAAGCAGGGAGGGAAGGGGGAAGGGGAAAGCACGAAGAGCCCTGGCCTGTGCTCTCACCGGCCTCCGGGAAGAGGATCCAGGCCGAGAAGGGCGGGCTGGCGGCCGTGACGCTGTAGTTGGTCACCTCACAGAAGGAAATGGCTTCGAACTGGCAGTAGCGATCACTCATCGCCTGAGAAACACACAGCGTCACACGGTTGCTGACAGACGAGGCTGAGTTGGACGGTAACGATGTTTCTTTTTTTTTTTTTTTTTGAGGCGGAGTCTCGCTCTTGTGGCCCAGGCTGGGGTGGCCGTGGTGTGATCTCAGCTCACTGCGACCTCCACCCCCCGGGTTCAAGCGATTCTCCTGCCTCAGCCTCCCGAGTCACTGAGACGACAAGCACCCGCCACCGTGCCTGGCTAATTTTTAAAATAGTTTTGGGTAGAGGCCGGGTTTCTCCATGTTGGCCAGGCTGGCCTCGAACTCCTGGCCTCAGGTGATGCACCCGCCTCAGCCTCCCGAAGTGCCGGGCTGACAGGCACCCCCAGCTCACCCCGCTGATTTCTGCATTTTTAGTAGAGACGGGGTTTCACCATCTTGGCCGGGCGGAGACTTAAACTCCTGGCCTCGGGATGCAGCTGCTGAAGTGCGGGGGTTACAGGCATGAGCCGCCGTGGCCGGCCTGTTTCTTTGATTTTGTTGTGACAGGGACTCACTGCGCAGGGTCAGGAAAGAAGGAAGCAAACGGAGCAGGTCAAAACGCCTGCGCGTATCAGGACTGTGAATAGCCACTACGCTCCAGCCTGGGCAACGTAGCAAGACCCCATCTCGAACAAAACAAAACAAAACAAAACAAAGCAAAAAAACAGAGAGAGAGAAATACGATTTACATGTATTCCATAGTCTGGACCTTTCTGGCACTGAATACCGGTCTACATTCCCATCCACATCCCATGTCAACGTCTGAGTTGTGGCTTCCACCCTTAAGTTCCTGATGGCGGGCTTTGTCACTAAAAACGGTGAGAGTTTTCAGTGAGAAGACATACACGATCCACAGGAATGTGAACACAGCAGTGAACCCCGGGCGGTGGCTGAGGCTGTCATCCTGGCACTTGGGTCACTGGAGGTCAGGAGTTCGAGACCAGCTAGCCAGCAGGGTGCAACCCCTTTGCTACTAAAAATACAAAGATGAACCAGAAGTGGTGGCTCATACCTGTCATCCCATCCCTTTGGAGGCTGACGCTGGTGGCTCACCTGAAGTCAGGAGCTCAGGACCAGCCTGGCCAACATGGTGAAACCCCTTCTCTACTAAAAAATACAAAACGTAACTGGGATTGGTACCAGGGACCTGCAAACCCAGCTACTCGGGAGGCGGAGGCAGGAGAATCTCTTGAACCCAGGAGGTGGAGGCTGCACTGAACTGAGATCGTGCCACTGCACTCCAGCCTGGCCAACAGAGTAAGACTCCATCTCAAAAACAAAAACAAAAAAGCATTGTAACTGGTACTGTTTTTTTGTTTTTTTATGGTTTTTTTGTCATTGGAGTTACCCAATACCCGGTGAGCCACTTTGCATGCCCAGAGAATGTCCTTTTCAATAGAAGCCACGACTGTCGTATTACTGGAAAAGCAGCATACGTCCGTTCAAACGCACAGTGCCGTGTAATGAAATATGAACATAACACACAGTGTCAGAGTAGAAGGAGGTTTCTCTGTCTCTTTCATTTATCTTTCTGCAATGGAGTCTCCCTCTGTGGCCCAGGCTGCAGTGCAGGGGTGTGATTTCCACTCACTGCAGCCTCCGTCTCCTGGATTCAAGCGATTCTCCTGCCTCAGCCTCCCGAGTAGCTGGATGACAGGTGGCCGCCACCACACCTGGCCAATTTTGTATTTTTAGTAGCAATGGGGTTTTCACCATGTTGGCCAGGCTGGTGTCGAACTCCTGACCTCATGATCCCGTCCACCCTGGCCTCCCAAAGTGCTGGGATGACAGGCGTGAGCCACCGTGCCCGGCCTAAGGAGGTCTCTCTCGGCCATCACAGGGCTCATTGTATTTCATAATCGACTCGTAGAGAGATGGAAAAGGCGATATTCTTTTACACTTGGCTAGTCACCCAAAGCCAGAAACCTACACCAGAATATTTCTCAAGGGTTTATCTCTCCTCGGCCACTTAGAAAACCAGAGGAAATGACTGTTTATAAACTGTAAGAATCATGAGTAGTTATCAAGGTCAACAACCTTACTGTAATAAGCAAGACCAAAGCATAAAAACAGCCAGATTCCTATCACGATCTTCTCCTAACTTAGAAGGATAGGTATTTGATTCCTTAAACAAACTCTCAGCGCTGTGCAGCTGGCTCACACCTGCATCGCATGCACTTTGGGGAAGCTGAGGTTGGGTGTCAAGACCAGCCTGACCACCATGTAGTGGTGCGACCCTAGCTCGGTCTGTAAAAGAAAGACAGAAGAAATACAAAGAAGAGGAAATGGCCAAAGGGAGCAAGAAGACGACGAAATGAACTAAGGAAGGAAGAAAGAAGGAAGGCAGTAAATAAATTAATAATTGTACAGGAGGAGAGAGAAAAAAGAAAAAAAGAGGAGGC